TTACCCCCAGCCCCCTCCCCTCCCCCAGCCCCCAACCCCAGACTCCAGACACATGTGACAGAGCAACGGCACCCTAGCATGTGAGGAACCCCAGCCCCCAAGCCGGTCGGTAGTCGAGGACGAAGATGGACGAGGTGATATTGTAAGCTCTGTCTGCCATTCTAAAAGCAGGGGGCTAGACGGCGGCCTCGCCTCGAGTACCTTTGTTCTTTATCTCCCGCTCTGTCCCTCTCTCACGCTCATGGGCGCAAGCAAGCTTTCGGCTCTCTCTCCCCCCATATTCATGGACGGACGTCCATGTGGTGAGGGGGTGGTTAGATAAAGGGCGGGAGGCACTTCCTAGAACGATCGGTATCAAGGATGACAAACTGACGATCGTCCAGCGGCAGCAATCAATCAATCAATGATGTAATGTTGGAGACTTTCTAGAATATGACGACGCTTCATGTGTAGCAGCAATGGCGGTTTGTCGATATGGGTGAGATGGAGAGATGAGATGTGCAAGGGTTGCAAAGATTGCACGTGCCCCAGCCCCCCGCAGAGATGTGCTAACTTCAAGTCTTGCGAAGTGCCCCCATCGATTTGCAGTAACTGCGGGACATGTCCTGACTCTCGGACGTCATCGGGTGTCGGAGCTGTATATTGTAGGTAGAGATCATCAGCACGCAAGGGCATGTAATAGCAACTTATTAGCTCTCATGCTTCTTCACTCCGAGGAGGGTGTGTGCGTGTGTGTGGCTTGGCACTAACAGATATGGAGTAAGGATATCACTAGCATAGAGAACAATGTGTCATCCGACTTGTTCTTGGCATCCAAGGAATCTGGCTTGCGTGCCAGACTCTAGCCGAGTTCGACATGTCTGTCCTCATGCAATTCGGATGTCGAGAGTTTGGCGATGTCGCAATCAAAAGGGTGATCGCCATAGATGGGCATGTGCGAAAGTGCGGAGACAATGTCTGAAGCCAAAAGAGCAGGAGAACCCGAGAGTGGTCTTCAATGCGGCAAGAGGGAGGGAGGTGCGACCACTTTAACAGCGGGAGGAGTATGGAGGAAGCAAAAGCGAGCCGGACGAAATCCGACATTCACTTCGTCATGGCAAAAGGCGGTTAGGGCTCATAAGATGACAGCTCCGGAAAGTTGTGAGGGCATGACTGACATCTCGGTCTTCTGGAGGGTGAGCTACATTTGGCAACTTGTTCCACGGGCGGTAAAGTGAGAAGTTCGACCTCGACGGACGGATTACGTTTCACCAGAATGCCAGCAGGTCTGATGCATGTAGGCGTGAGCGAGCACATAGCCCACCTGCTGTCCAGCTTCACAATTCTATGAAGGGACAAACTTTTGTGAGGAGTCGCGGGTTGTTTGTTATGAGCTTCCAGTTCATCGCAGACGTCTGCTCTCAGGACCCGAACTCACATGAGCTCTGAAAACTGCAATATTTTGGGTACCTGCCCCAACGCACACAGCCTGCCTGCCTTGCCTGGCTTTGCGCTTTGTGGGGGACAACATACAGTTGGTGTGTGAGTGCGGGTGTTGGTTATGGTGTTCCAGATGACCGAGACACTCGACGCTTCACCGACCTTCTGGTGAGACAGATGTGTTGAGCTCTGGGGATTTCGAGATTGTTGGCACCTGCCTCTGCTCAGCCCAGATCACGTACCCTCGTCCTCCTCCTGGCCATTGAGGATGTAAGGAGGTTGAGGGTGTTGGCTGTGTGTACAGAGTATCACCCACTTTCTATCTGAGGGAATCAGAGGAGGAGGAAGCAGACATTTGGTTTGTGTGCCTCCCTCCCTTGCACTCGGACGATGTACTCTGAGCGCGCGGATGAGGATTGGCTGCTATGTTCAAAAGCTTCACCCACTTCCGTTTTGAAGGTATCACAGGCACCTACAAACACATGATCGTTGTACCTGCTTGCCTGTGGGACCACCCTCACCACCACCTTCCACTAACCAAATTCTAGCATGCGCTGCTCCAAATGTGCACAAAGTTTCTCCTCGGGCAAACCTAGAGCACCTTTTCAGATGCTGTGCCTCGAGGCATCCGAGAACCCCAGACCTTCGAAGTTCGACCCACACTGATTACAGTTCAGCTCGGTTCGGTCCAGCTTTTCCCAAGCTCACCGATTTTCGACCTCCTCCTCGCTCTCTCGCTTGCGCACTCATTTGAACAAGATCTTCTGAGGCTCACCTACGAACACAGCACACCGGCCGTCTACCATCATAATACATCACGGTACACTTGTAGCTAGACATCCGAATCTAGCGTTTGTGTATGCGACACTTTTCCAGAGGACAGCCCACGCCTCGCCTGGTTCTGTTCCCTTGTTCCTTCGTAGCACACTGCCTGCTCTCTGTATCTCGTGATCATTATACACTCGGCCTAATAATCCTGCCTTGGGATAAGATCAGAATCTAGTGTACCCGACTAGCCTGTAGCTGTACGCTGTTCTCTGTAGGCCAGGATACCCAAAAGTGGTGTAATATGTATGTCTCGGGGAGGCGCACATATTTTGTCACCTTGCTTGCTCCCGCCGCGCGTTTTCACTCGAAGTATATACTACCTCGAGCTGGAAAGTTGGAATTGCGCTTCCCGGACCCATCTTCGAACCCGAAGGTCCTATTCCTGGATCGCGGATGATTCCATGCATTTCTCAAGATGAGCCCACTCAGCCTCTCGTCTCGATTCGGGACTTTTACATTCTTCCGACCTCCCCATGCTCTTCTCCGGATCCGGGTTGTTGAAACTTTCATTCGTTCTGTTCAGTGTTTAGTCACGAATGCAAGAATGAAGCAAGAATGAATGCGTGCGCGGTGGGATATGTCACACAGCAACCACTCATCTCTGGGGCTCCAAAGCAATTCCTGCGAGATTGCTTGGAGATTGCGGGGAGGCTTGGGGCTTTGGGGTTGGGGTTGGGGCTGGGGCTGGGCCAAGTAGGACGACGCTTCGTCCGTGTTTCCTGAAAAGAATGACATGGAGCAAGCAGACGCTCTCGACCACCTGCGCTCGACTCGAGACTCGAGACTCGAGAGGCGCCATCAATCGGTGTCGTCGTGGCTGCCACCAGTTCTTCCGAAGCATGGATGCTTGTCGAGTGCTAAGGGCATGCTGCCGTTGCGTCCCGCCTTGTTCGAACGACAACATCCGGTTCGAGGAGCGACCGACCGCCGGCTGCTCGTTGGATCGTACTTTACGTGCGACCTCCCTCCCTCCCTCCCTCCCTCCCTCCTTCCCTTGTTTCTGGCCACGCATTCGGCCCCCCTTCGGGCTCGCGGCTCCAGGCCCAGGCCCAAGCCCAAGCCCAAGGCTCGAGAGAATGGATGGGGAGGAACCATCGTCTCTACTCTCTCGGTCACCGCGCCGTCAGCCCCTCGCTACACCAGCAACTTCGGCGCTCGCCCGGCTCCAACCGGACTGTAGTAGAACTCCTCCTCCCCCCGAAGTCCGAAATTCGACCCCGCGGTCGCTGCCGACGTCTCCCGGTACCGACTCGCATATCCCGCCATGAACCACAATTTCTCCCCTCCCCCCCTTGATTGGCGCACAAACGCCTACTACGTAGTTCTTGTAACAAGTTGAGACGGGATGTGATGAAGAGCTTGGAGCCTTTGTCATCGTACCTGGTTGATGGGATGGGTATGGATGGACTCTTATCGATGAGCTATCGGTCGTCAGTGGTTTCTAGCTGAGTTGAATTTTGACATTCAAATTCAAATGTAAGACAGGAGGAAGATAGCTCGTACAGTAGACACTTTGTGTGATCCATTGGGTTGCAAATCAATATCGACAATTATAAAGCAGCTTCACAAATGCAGCCAAAACCTACTGTGAATCAAGAGATTATTTATCTGGTTGATTTGCAATAATTTTAAGATAATTTGAGTGGATATAGCAACAAGTGTGTAGACCTTTCTTTGGAGGTTTGTACAGTTCGATGGATGACGTTCATTTAAATTTTGCGTCTGATAGTTTTGTAGACAATTCCACATTTGTAAAACTGACGTGTACGTATACTCCACTCAATTTTATATTTTTTTTGCAGAGTACATGTATATGTATAATATTTTATCTTTTTGTGATGAAATTACTTGAAGTTCAAATTTATTTTTATTTGCACTTCTTCAAGTATGTGCATATAGTGTAAAATTGTAATGTACACGTCCTCAAGTATGTGCATATAATTTAGAAGTTTAATGTATATGTCCTCAAGTATGTTAAGTTTTTACAAATTCTGAAGTATCATATGCATGGAGCTTCATGATATTTAACATTTTTATTAAGATTATACAAAAGTATTTAAATTATTCAGTTTCCACTTTAAGTTACATTTGTCTTGAGGTAATAAATAAAACATAAAGTAGAACTAAAATGTACATAAACTACACATTATTAGTAATAATATCATTGGATTTGATTTTTCTTAAAATTATTGAGCGAACATACTTTTTGAAAATATGCATCTTCAACTGATACATATACCATTGAACTTGTTTACCCCTAAACACTTAAATTTGATTTGAATTCTTCTGTCATATCAGAAAAGTATATTTCAAACTTCCAGTTGAACACGACTTCTTGAGGTACATATTTTGATCCATCTGCACAATCAAAGAAGAAGCCGTCTTATGAATAATTTATACTCAAAGAAATTAATCTGAAAAATCAATCTATTACATTTTGATGAAGTACGGTATTGCCATATATAATTGAAAAATCTCCAATTCGTATAATAAATGTCAAGCACACGATCATTAACTTTGAAATATAAAAATTACTAAAGGAACGAAGTGATATCATAAAGAGTTTATGACAACACATGCCCATGCATCTTCACCATGAGAATTTAGGGAACGAGTTGTTCTAGAAGGGTGTTGTCATGCGATGTGATTAATTTACAAATAGCCAAATTGGAATTAGATCTTGTGGAATTTGATGTCGATGGGGTCGGCAATCGAGAAAATGAAAATGGAATGGAATGGAATCGGTCGGTGCCTTGGGCTCCATCGACGTCAGGCTGTGGGCGGATGGCGTCGTCGCAAGAAGGTCGGGACAAGGTGCAACATGTCGAGCACGAATCGCTTCATGGGGAAAGGGAAATGATGCGCAGGACTCGAAGCTCCCTCCACCTTTACAAATGTTCGTGTGCATGCTATGGCGTGCCCTCCGACACTTTCTACGCTTTGTTCGCCTCCCTCCCTCCGGGTTTGGGGGTTCCGAGGCATCATCATCTTGCTCGGCCGACGAGTCTCATGCTGTCGGTGCTCCTCCTGCTGCTGCTGCTCTCAAGTCTCGGAGATGTGTCCGCCATTCCTCGCTCGAGCGTGTCACCGATGTTGTTGTTGACTCGGATTTGGAAGTTTGGAGCTCGACTTGAGACCCTAGACGCTTCTTGCTTGCTCACTTGGCCCTTCCGTCTGCGAAGAAGTTGTGCGCTGGAAGACATAGAAGTTCGGAGGCGAAGGAACAGAGCTCGAGCTCGAGCGAATGTTCCGCGCGCTTCGACCGGATGTGAAAAACGTCACCAATTGGACCAACCGAAGTCGGACGCATTCACGACATAACATGACAAATGCGATCAGAAGTCATCTTCTCGGGCAGGACTGGGGTGGCAACCTGTGGACTAGGCAAGAAATGTTGCGCGGGAGAAGGAGAAGGAGCCGGCGATGGGCATCCGCTGATTCCCTCTTTCTGGTAAGGTATGGATCGGAACCTTTTAAATCTACTGTATTCCCAAGTCCATCATCATTACCAACAAGTCCGCATGGCCCAGGTTCAAAGCTGGACGAACACGTGTTGCAGCGTGAAGTGCCCAGACCTAAGACTCTCGGGGAAAAGTAAAATTCAGGCTCAAAATCGCCCTACACAATACAAAACATAGATCTGGAGTGAAGAATAAGTCGGTCCGAGAACTAAAAGCGTACAAAAAGAAGGAACTTCGGCATTTCGGATAGTTTCCTGCTGGAGGAGCATGTCTGATGCGAAAACTTCCATCTCTACTCGGGCCGAGCTACCGATCCCAGGCCATGGGGGAATGGCGTGTGCGCAGCAGCATATGCTTGCACCCATCCATCTATGAAACCGTTTGTGGCACTCGATGATGCGATGAGATGAGGTATGAGTTCAGAAAGGCTATGCATACGTTAAAGGAGGGAGAATCACAATAAGCACTATTGGGAAAGGGAACACTTTCCCATGACTAAATTACAAGAGATGAGAATCAACAGACGTGTATCATGTCTTATACTTCCTTCACTTATCACGAGAACCGCCATCCCCTTGTTCTCTTCTTCCTTCATGCGTTTCTATCATCCATGTGATGCACACACGAATGAGGCATAATATGGCTCCCTTGTCGCGTTACAGTGCACTGGTTTTGTTGTTTTCTACGAGCTCGATGTACCTATGCATGTATAGGAATGATGATGAACGTTTGGACGACGAAGGAGGACTGGCGTAGAGATGTTGATAGGAGTTGTAGGACAAATCATTGAGCTCCAGTTTTCTGGTTGCATGAAAATTAATTCCATTCCTCCCTCGCTCGCTCGCTCCTTCACTTCTCTCATCTTCTTCTTCCGTTGGAAAGACATTATGCTTTCCTAAAAAGACTCACCATCTCTTTGTTCACAACTGCTTTGTCCCTTTTAGATTCTATAGTTTCTTTCTCCCCTTTTCAAAATACACTTTTGCTCAGCAGTCGTCAGAATTAGGTCATGGGCTATGCCATAACTTGACCGAGTGGATTGGAAGTCTGCCAGAGTAATCTTTTATTTTCTCGTTTCCATCTCTTTCTCTCCCCTTCTGGATCTACGTGTTGGCTGGGCTGCGATTCATACCACAAGCATTAGCAGCAGCTGCTCGAGGCGGTCATCTCTTTAAACGTAGAAAGGATCCAAACAGAACATTGTAAGCCTCACATCGGATGCAGGAAATGTTTGTTTGCCACGTCTATTAGTGACTTTGATAGCATTCGCTTGCTTGCGCGTGAAGAAAGAGAATAGAAGAGGAGCCCTTAAGAGGTTGCTCTGAATTCTGTGAAATAGTCAGCTTTTAGACTACTAATCTTGCATAGCAAGCTTGATCAGCAATAAATTTACACGGATCAATCCAATGTCCTCTAACCAAGCAAGCTGTTTCGAAACCCTCACTGTAATATTCGGTACGTCATGAGCCGGCAACATAACAACACATCCATTCCATTCTGGTCTGATGATGACGATAGATCTCATCATCCTGGGCAGAGCTTTACTGTGTGGGTTCCATCTCTTGATTATCTTGAGTTTTGTTGCATGACCATTTCAGATCTCAAGAACCCACAAACGATTCGAGTCTCTTCTCACAAGATAAACGTGCTGGGTTGTGGTGGTAAAGTACGTCATGATTTTCTTTTCTCGGTTTCATTTCAAGCATTTGGATCCTGGCTTTTGTTCTGTTTCTTCCATAACTTGTGGCCGGGGAATTCCAAGCCGAGTTCATACGGTGGATTCCAACATGGCTTCTGCGTCTGTTAAAACAAGATCGATCACCTTTGGAAATCGAGCCTCTCTAGAGCTGCTGCCGAGGAACGTCAAAGCCCTCCTTAGTCAGAGTCTCAATGGATGTATATGAGCTCTGGTGCATATACACGAAGGAGTCCACGGAGCAGGTGGTCTAAAAGAGGCTGCAAGTGAGAGAGTGATTGGGTAAGGCTCCGGAGTCGGTCAATATGCTTGTAAATAATTTCAACTTTTTCCAATTGGTGGGTCTAATGCTCCTATTATTGGGCGTGTGCTCAGGGTTGTGGCTTAGAGCGGTGGAATATAAGTTCTGCATGAATCAGGGCAAAGTCATGTTTCGATGGTCAGGACTAACTAACGCTTGCGGGTTGGCCTACACGAGACTCCGTAAGATAAGCTCATGGGCCTTGTGATTTGGTCATCTATGGGCCCGTTATCACTTTGCGAGAATATATGTAGTCTTCTGATTGATAGATGTATGTGATATGTGGCGCTGCATTTGTCTTGGTGCTTTGCCTGTCTTGGCACGGTGAATAGGATCAGATTTGGATCCACTTATTCAGATTCTATCCGTGCATCGCATGCAATGCACCAACAGCAACAGCAGCGCAAGAGAGGGGAAGAGAAGAGTACTCTGAAGGGCGTCATCCCACTCAGATCTGTAATTACACTCTTCTTCACAGTCCCTGAAGTTAAAGAAAATCTTGTCTGTAAACGTTGATATAAGCTTTCTGAACCTTAGTCCACATCGAGGAACTTTCGGTACTTAAGACTTTCGTGGTTGACTCTCTGTAGTGAAGGTCTACTTTGCTGACCCGTGCGATGTTTGTCTTTGATTTCGATTACTTTAGCCTTCGATGACTAACTCCCTATATCCGGACTACCTCAAGCCAGCTGCGAACTGGAACCAGTACAACATTTGTTAATGCTAGTTATGTCCATGGGATGTGTAAAATGTTGGGTATCTCCACACACACTTGAGTATATGGCCTCAAAACTTATCGCACTCTGGAGTTTTACGATACTTGATGTCATCACAGAAGACTAAAAGTGTATTATCTTTAATGTAGTTTACATGAGGAGGACACCTTCGATGGATAGAGTCGGATAAACGTTGGTCCCTCCAACTCACTCTGAAAAAGGCGAGGGCCCAATTTGCTTACTTGTCATTTGGAGGTGAACGAGTTCAACACTCAATCGGCGCAGCATGGCTGGGCTTGGCTTGATAAGTGACACTAGGAAATTAGAGCTGTCATCTGAAGGGTCTAAATTCAGATGGCAGAGAGGTAGAGGTATGTGCTGTGGAGACAGATAGGCAGGATGGGAGAGAGCGAGGAAGGCGATGCAATTCTCCTTCGGACAACTGAAGGTAAGTGGCTGTATGAAGCAAATGGTCACACCAAGATTGATTGCGGAAGAGGTTCTGGGCCAACAGCATGTGATTCTATCTATCAACCTGAGGATGCTTTTTTACCGTGGAAGTGGTTGACACTTGCTACGCTATCATTGCTCTCCTCCAGAGCAACGACTTGTCAAATCTGTGACAGTGTCACTGTGTAAGCCTTCCCTTCGTGTGTCGGGAGCACATTATCCTTTTTGGGAAGTGAGAGCTAAAGAAAGAGTGTGTCTCGCACACTACACTCGCTGTCTCCAAAATGCTGGCACCTCTCATGTTAATCTACGAAGCCGACAAAAGAACCTTGTTCCTGGACAGGCAAGACTTCGGCACACAAAGATTGAATTTCAAGCAAGTCATATGAGTGGACCATCGACGCAAGAGCTTGCCCAGCTGGACCATCATCTGATCTCAACTCCGCGTTTGGTCACAGTTCCTCGAGATGCCATTGCTCGGATACCAAATCGGATGTCGGCTTCTACGTACCCAGCGAACATTCTCTGATCCATGTGTATTTTGGATTTTAACTGCATAGCGCTTCAGCTTTGCGGGAGAATCAGAACCTTCTGCTGCTTGCTGGGTGAAAGGGCGGGAGGGAGGCCTAGTACTTGAGTTACGACCAAGACATGGTTTTCTCGAGCTGCGAACATGTAGTCCGCATGTCCATGGGAGAATTACATTCTGTGGCTGAATTGGTCATTCCGAGGAGAGAGATTAACAGGACCGAGGGAGGGATGGTCCAGGGAGATTGGTTGGAGAATCGGAAGGAGCCTCACGGGATGGATCGAGAGCAAACGCAGACTCCAGACAAAGTTTCCCTCGTGTTCCCTTAAACTACAAACGTCCCAAATCCAATCGAATCGAGCCAAGTGCAGAAACTTTTCGAACAGGACGTTTTGGACACTTTGCATGCAAAATTTCATGTGAGCATTTCATCAGAATTTCATCTAAATCCGTGAGTCCGTCTATAGTCCTGAATTTTATCAGCCGAGACGATGATCTCGGAGACTTCCTTCCTTCCCCGTCCCTTCCAGAAACTTGCACAAAAGTTTCCAGTTCTCGGACACGGAATCTTTCTGGCCTGCTGAGCAGAGGAGAGCAGAGCAGAGCAGCTGATAATGTCCGGCGAGGGAGAGAATAGATAACGATTCTGACTCTTACTCTGACAGCGGAGGCAGCAGAGCTCGAGAGATACCGGCCGGTAACATCAGCAGGGCGGGGGTGCTGCAGGCTCGCAGACAGGTGGACTCGGGGCTTAGAAATATTCCCATGCTTCAAAGCCACAACATGTGACTGGGCGATCCTGCCTGTGATCCACAAGCGAGTCCGTTTCCTTGATGGCGGCCCAGAAGCAGTGAGCGAGTGATTGGACTGCTCTCATCTCGTCCGCCAGCTCCACCAGCTCAGCCCGCCTGATTTCCTAGCACCAGCATCATGCATGATCGTCATGCAAACTCCCCAAGACAACAGTGGTCAACTTTTGGCCCCCTCGTCACCATCGCAGGTGCAAGGGTGCCAAAAGCCTGAGCGAGAACGGACTCCTCGAATGAGCGTCATAATTCGAGACCAATTGCGAGCAGAGCAGGAGCGGCAGCATACGCAGCCTTTGGGCCTTCTCGAGAACTGAATCATAAGAGTAAGTGGGGGTGGGGGTGGGGGTGGTTTGTCTCAGAAGAGAGAAGAAATCCTCGCGAGTTACCGTGGAGCTGAATGTATGAGCGTATGCGTTGTGTCCTCTGCTGTTTATGGAATAGAAAAATCAAGGAGAATAGTTTGTCTAGCTCCGAGACATGGGATAAATTCTAGAATATGGACACAGGAGGAGGAGACGTCGATGGATTGTTTGTTGTGCATTCGGTTGTGGAATGCCTACGGAACAGCCAGTGGAAGGGAGCGGTCGTGGTCGGCTGCTGGATGAGGTTGGGGGTGGTCGAGATTCCCAGGCGAGATGCGGAGGGCAGCAGCACAGCTTTCAACTCTCGGCTGCCGGACGTGGCGTCAAAGACCATGTGCAATGTGATGGCTCAAGTTGGAGAGTGGCTCATTACGCTGGTCATGACATCAGTCAATTATGTTCGGACAGCGAATCATGAGAGCATGAGTGAATCGATTTCGCTCGTACTGCGAGCCGCTGCCTTCATTCCAACTCCAGCTCGAGTACAAGGGGGAATCCTCATCCAATCATTGTAAGGATGACATCCATAAACAAATGTTTCTTTTCGCCCGTTTGTTTCTCCCAGAGCTTTCGAGAAGGAGCGAGCTCGTGGTGAAATGAGGTGCGGTCGTTCCTTCTTCTTCTGATTCTTCATACTTACAGAGCTATGGACTTGCAAGGACGGCCTCGTCGTCCACAGGCAATGAATGTAGGTCGACGTCGTCGTAAGGGCTACGAACTAAGGCAGGCAGAGCTCGGAATTGTTTATCGCAGGGATAAGTTCATTCCTTCTACGATCCACGGAGTTCTCGAGGACTTCTGAGACGTGAGGAAAATCATAAGAGCAATAAGTGCATTCTAGACAATTGAGAAGAGCTGTGGCTGGAGCTGCGATTTCGCTGACGTACTGCTGCTGCAGCATCTTGTAGTCGTGATTGATGTACGTTTCTAGAGAATATCTGGACATACCAAAGCAAGCAGGCAGACAGGCAGGCAGGCAGGCACAACTGCCTCTGCCTCTGCCACCAACAGTCCTCTCGGTACTCGCTTAGAACGGCATGTGACTCTCATCATCATCCCTCCCCTTCCTGTAAGATGATGAAGAGGAAGAAGAAGGAGGAGAAGAAGAAGCAGCAGCAGCAGCATTGCGGTTGCGCAGGTCCAGAAAAGCAGCTCCCTTAGCTACTACCTCTCCTGCTTCACTCGCTTTCCCTTGCAGTGACTGCTCTCGGACTCTCAGAGCCCGCAAAGTCTCCCGCTAATGCGCTCCCTGACAGTCCCTCGCCAAGTGGCAGCCGTGCAAGATATATATAGCTCGTCTCTCGTAAGGGCAATGACCGACGCTGCTGCTGTTGCATTGTTGTAGGCATGGGATCGGATGGGCCAGCATCCATCTCTCGGAACGCAAGGCACTAAGAAAGGAAGGAAGGAAGGAAGCCTCGAACTGGAGCGTGTGCAGGCAGTACTTCGCTCAGTGGACCTCCGACCTCGTCGCAGGCAGGCATCAATGGATGCGCTTGCTTTGCTTCCGCCATGCCCGGATGAGGAAATGCTCAAACGCTGATCACAGCAACACAACGCCGAGTCTTAACATCGCCTCGTACTCCTCCCCTCCTGTCGATGGTCGAGGCTCGTCGGGGGGTTCATGACATCCTCCCGTCCGGACCCTCTTCGCATGAAGCTCGACGCATGAGATCATCAGACATCATGACAAGAGGGAGCAAAAGAGGGAGCCAAAGAACGCGCAACATGGCTGCACACGTTCTCCTGCGAGAAAAAAGCGCATTGGACGATGATTATCAGTCGGACAGGCAGCCGCCCACGGTCAAAGAAGTACACCACTGCACAGAGCAACACTGGACGTCCACTCCATCTCATGCTCCAGGAGAAGCTTTACAAAAGGAATGAACTTTCCCCAGAAGTGTGAAGATTTCGTTGATTATTCTGGACCGGATTCGAAAAGATTTTGCCTGCGCAGTTCTCATTTTGCGCACACCGAACTTTTCAGTGCTCCAAATCGTTGGAGCGATGTTTCTTGCGACTACGAGTACTTCCTGTACCGTATGACACCCGATAAAGTTTATCGCACATTTTACACATGGACTTATGTCGTGGGCGAATGCCATCCTTCCGCACTAGTTGAGGATCGAGTCCAAAACATAGCAATACAAGAATTCTCCAGGCTTTACATGTCTTGGCTTCGAATCTTGGGGAAGAGCAATCAGTATTTCGTGAAGCTTATCGGAATCGGCTCCCAAACTCCTCTAAACAGGACTGAATCAAGAGAACCTCCGGTTCAGATTCCATCGGCCCTTCTGCGCACAAATGAATGAATGCTTGCGATTATACACATTGTTTGAAAACTTCTTCTCTTCGCAGTCCGAGGATCTATGTTTGCAGTCAACTGATCATTAACTGAACAAGGATCCAATTGATTTGATGATCCTCGTATACACAGTCCTTGCATTCAGAAGAGCTCAAGGTGTCACGAGGAGAAGCAGGGAGGGGATTCCAGAGTTATCATATGGATCCATAAGCTGAGTGTACTTATTTGGTGAGACCATCCACAAGAAGCTAGCATACAATTCAAAGCTGAGCTACTACAACTAATAGCTCAGCTAGAAAGACATCCGTCCTGGGTTTCTGCCAATATTATGGTTGTCTCTTCGTATTCCAATATGCCTTGCGATCCGCCTTGGGGCCTTCATGTATCTTCATCTATTCACAGTGTTGACTCTACCGGAGTCTGAAAAGAGTGATTAGATGTGGAAGAGTCTAGTGGATAGGATAAATGTCCAGTCTAGCACTCTTGAGTCCGCTACATTCTTTTGAAACTGTATACCGGACGTTGGAGCTCTTCCACATTGACCATCAGAATTGCTTCAAGATTCACTTCATATTCTGCTCATACAATGTAAGAAGATACAACCTAAGGTAAGGATAAGGTAGGATCACACAACCTCTGATAGGATTCTTGAGGATATTTTTTTACAATTAGACACAACTGCTGTGATGGTCATAAGATCCAAAGAGGAGGTGACTAGGTTCCCCCAGGCGATAGTTCTTACTAACGTGATTATGTTGACAATCCGTGCCTACACTGGAGCGCTGGCTATGTCTCGAGGGCATTCAAGTAGGAGAGTTGGTTCACCTCAATAAAGAAAAATCTCGAGTTTGCAAAAAGCTGGATCAAGTCTCGTGGTGTGTTTTGGCTCGTTGGGGTTTAGACGGTGGTCGGGTTGCTTATTTGCGATCTTCACACCTATCAGTCCGTAGATGGCAACCTCTGAGTCTTCACATCTGCAACGAAAGCAATCGTTAAGCGCCAAGTCGAGACACTTCGTCATCTTACGTATTCACGCATTCAATGGTAATTCACTTCGACTTGATGCCCTTGATGAGTGGGGTTAACTCTGAAATCAGCCTGGAGGTGTCTCTAGAAACGGGGCCAACCTGAGTTTGTTCAAAAAGGTCACTCAATGTGATATTCCTCCCTGCGAAAGACAAAAATCCAACTCTTGTGAAATTTCGTTTGAGTGCATGTTTCGCTGCTAGATAAATAGATCAGTGCTCCTTCATATACCAATACCCTCGAATGGTGATCACACGACACAAGCAGTCCTGTGGTGGAGAATCCTGTGAGGGAGAGGGACTGGCCACAAGCAGAACAAAAGACTTCTTAGCAGCCAGCTGTACTATGTCTAATGCCCATATGTGGGAGTGTAAACTGCAAATTTATGCTGACATATATCTCCCAGCTGACATTTCTCATAGTTGAAGGTAGTACCGCATTTAGCAGCGATAACCCTTTCAAACATCTCTTCCAATTCCTTCGAAGCTAGGCCCATCTGCAGATATTAAAACCGCAAAACCTTAGAATTATATTTGAAAGCAATGTATGAAATAGGTGGATAATAAGGATAACTGCAAAACCCTGGAGAATTCTAGGAACTGTAAGAAGGATTCAGTGACGCATTTTCTGATAATCTGCTCCGATGGAAACAACTGGCAGAGTTGCGGCTCCGAAAAGCTCTGCTGTCATTGGACACCATAGCAATTTTTCTCTCCTCACTCTCGATGCGCTTTTCAATCAAAGAGCAACCACTGACAGCCTGGTAATTCTGTTCTCATTTTTCTGATTTTTTTCCTTGAGATTAGCATTGGCTTCTCAAGAATCTAACTTCGAAATAGATACAAACTATATTCACGCAAGAGTAAATCTACTGCAATATCTTCTACCTTGCTAGACGCGAAGGCTTTTAGTGCCCTTCGGTCTGGGGGGGAGCTTGGCCTTCGGGATTCATCAAGTTTGCTCGTTAGCTGCGCATCGCCTTGCGACGAATCTCGGTAACTTGCGTATCTGTGAGAATGACTCTGCCGCCTTCGGTTCTTCATCGCGATTCGCTGATCGTGCCACAAATCTCGAATCTGTTCCTCCTGGTTCTCTATTTTTTGTACAAGTACCTTGCCGGGTTCACTTTCCTCAGATCCTGGTATAAGACGCAGTCTGATTCTCTGCGTTCTTGGATGAGCTGACTGCATCGAGGAATCCTTGGCTGCCTGCTCTGAGTTTCCAAGCTTATGTAGGTACCGGGCAGAGTCAAAACGAGAGCTGTAAGTGGGCTCCATATTAACCTCAGATATGGCAGCCTGGGCTCGCCTGAAGGCAAGTTCTGATTCGGTATCAGCTTGCACTTGGCTCTTTAGACGCAGCAAGTCAGGACTGGCTGGCCTTTGATATTCTACTTGTCGAGTAACATCGCCAGAGTCGGACGCTCCCTCGACAATCGATCCTGTTCGTGACCGTGGCGATGTGTCAACTTCATCTAGCTCGTTGTAACGAGCCCTACACGTATTCCCCCTGGAAGATCCGGGACTCACATTATCCTCATAACTGAATAGGCGACTTTTCACTTGACTGTAGTTTTCCTGCATGTGTTGAATTCGGAACGGAGTTTTAGTAGGAGCAACAAGAGTTCGTCTACTTGTTGACGAAGACTGACACAGCGTGACACATACATTTCTGCCGTTGTGCCTTGATCTGTGTTGGGCATTTGTTTTCACTCCCATCACTTTTATCAAGAATCAAAACTTGACTATGTGATGAGTTCATCATTTGTCTTCTCAGTTGCCGCTGAGTGGCTAGATATCAGGGAGGCAGACTCCATGATCATTAAGTGACAACATCTAAGAAGCAAAATGCAATGGTCAAGAAGTATGTGACAAGCACCTTCTTTCGTCTTGAAGTCGAGGGTGCTACTGGTCGATCGGCCGCTTTCGTGTGCCTACAGTACGAGAGCTTGGTCTGCAATTGCGGCTCCAGGCGTGAGCTCACCATTGGTTTGACCTGCGTTATCAGGAGGAATAGACCTCGAATTTAAATATTCGATATAGAACTCGATAGAATAGAGTCTGCACTGTAGTAGTACCTACAACCTCTGGAATGAGTCCGATTTACTAGGCCCTAATGTTTGAGTCATTTGATTCTCTAGATTCCATTTCGACAGAGATGCCAGAAAAGAGTTGAAGAATCAATCTATTAAATGGAAAATGACTTAATCCTCCCTCTTCAGCGCACTTGGTCCTACTGGTAAACGACAATTTTTTATTTCAATTCAGAAGAAAACTCGATGCAGAATTCTCAATTTGAGAACTATCGATACTCTGTTTACTAACCTTGGACCAGTCAAGCTTTTGAGGGGCCATCATAAGGGACTTGCGCTTCAGGAAAGGACGTTTCGGTCTGTTGGAAATTTCTACAGTAGATCCAAAGTCCACGCTGAACATGCCTCCATTGGCTGTCCCTATGGGTATCTCATCAAATGACAAGTCAATCGGTTTTGTCCTTTGCATCAATGTAAGCGGCTGCTCTTCATAGATTTCGTTGATTTTTGCCTCGAAAGTACCTGCTTCTAGTGGGACTTGCCGATATGGCAAGGTTACCTTGTTTGCCTCCTGTGAACAAGAGGAATCTATTTTTTCCTCTGAATCTTTTTTAGTCATGTGCGATTCACGGAAACTGCTGGTGAATCCCGTCGGGGACCGTCGCCCATTTATTGGTTTCGATGGAGATCTCTGGGCCAGGAAGTACCAAGGGAGTAGTTTCGCACTCTCAGGTGGCTCTGTCACTGAATTCTCAGCCGAAGAGTTGGGATGGCGAACTTTACCACGCGATCCTTGTTTTCTTGGCGTGGCAGGTTGAGTGTGTGAAGTTCGCGATTGTGGGAAAGAACCTGGCATTTGGGGACAATGCTTGTCTCCACCTTTTTGAGCGATCGCAGAACCAACTGCGCTTACTGCTGGAGCTTTCGATGTGTATAAGACCAACGGTGTACCTGGACCCCGTCTCAGTAGAAACCGAGCTTGCATTTGCGGACCTACGGAATACTGAAATTAGTTCAGATCGAGAACTTGATGGACTTTGAGCCCAAACAGGGTCTTCTATCTTTCTTAAAGAGGAATACAATAGCATGACTCTCAATTAATCGGTAGCTGACTGGAACGCACTGCTTTGTTGTTTTCTCTAGAGTATGACTTGTATTATAGCAGTCCCTCACCCAAAAGTCGTGCAATATCGTGTTGTCTGACACATTCAACATAATTCTTTGAGAGCCGTGTTGACAGGACAGGACATGACAAGTTCAAAGGTTTGTGTATTTACGTGTATATGAGGAAGGTACCGCTTACCAGTTAGTGCTGTATGCAACTGCAAAATCTTCTGCTGTAACTGACTGCAGAGTTGTGGGTAGAGATAGGGAGCTGATGTATCACGATTTGCTTCCTCCGACATTTCGTGCAGAAGACTTCGAATCTCCTGCTTTGCTTGTTTTGTAAGACCTCGGATTCAGAACGCTAAGTAACCGAAATGTTTGATGCTTCACAAGTTTATCATGTATTCTACACGTCCAGTGAGTTTTCCGTGTACCTTCAAAGGTCGTGCAAGGAGAAAAACGACTGGGATGGTTTATATTTGAAAAATTGAAAAAGCGTTAGGGACAACTGAACCTTGATTTCCATAATAATGGGCTGCAAGCGGCGAGATTTCAAGCGTCGCCTTACTCGAACTCCCTCCGTTCTTGCTTGAATGCATTTCACCGATTTCGCAAAATTATCTGCAGTGGAAATATGATCAATTCAAGCATACAAAACACGAAGGTGAATCAGAATCTACAGCCTAAGACCCAAAGAGGAAAGGCTTGCTCTAATTTTAATATCCACAAGTTCAGGTGTGAGTATTTGCCAAGCGGTCTCACCAAAGGAAGGAGGACGGTAGTTCTTGGAGCTCTGCCTTGTTTTGATAAATTCATAGAAGTCCTGCCAACGGAAGGAGCTTAGTGAAGGTCTGGTATGCTGGTATCGAAACACATCACGCGTCATTCCAGAGAGGCCCTATTTTCGAGGAATGTTCCGAGTTGTCTAATGCACTTCGTACCATGATCTTTCCCGAATCTCAAGAGACCAAGGAACCAGCTGATAATGATTATGTACTATCGCGACTCTTGGATCTTCACCGTGCACCAGACGCGCATATATACATCCCATTTCAGCACGAAACTTTGATGGAAAAAAGACTTAAACTGACTAGTTTTAACGACGTTCCTGTCGAAATTTTTAGGTATACAATCCAGATTTGAAATCTAGTTCTGACAGACTTTGATGTTGGAATCTTCTTATCGGTGATCAGAGTTGAACTTGAATGTCGAATTATGGTAACAAGAATAGTAAATAGTCATCCAAGCAGATCCCTCTAGTTGCTTCATGAACCTGACATTTTCAAGTTGTCCTGCTTAGATCCGTTACCTCCATGTTTTTAGGAAGTCCTTTTGTGGACGGAGCTTTCTCTCTTCTCCTCCTCATCAGTGCTCGCCAAGCACGTTGTATAATGCTTGCTGCTTTCTGCATTGATGTGATCCATCTTTTCAATAGACTGTCACGCGTCAATTCCTGCTTCATGCACCAGAAGACAATAGGGTATTTGACATTTCACCTCAACCAGGCGCAGATCGGACAGCTCGGGTGAACCATATATAGTCGATATAAGTTTCATATTGTTTTACCAAGGATTAGTACAGGTGAAGGTGCAAACCTCGGCATAGGACCATGGCCAATTGGGATACTTGAAGCGTCTGAACAATCTGCGAGATTTTCAAGGCCTTCTCTAATGTCTGCTCGCTGCAAACATAGTTGCTCGCCTCAGATTTAGAAGTAAGACCTAATGTGGAGCCCTTAACATTGGCTAACTTGAGCGTGTGTTGCAGTATGGGGCTGAGTAGTCACTCAGCCCCATGGCTCCTGCAACTTTGCAGATGGTCTTGTTTCAAAGTTAGTTTGTTGAAAGTGCCCAACTATGAAGCTGCGTCTACCATTTCCAATTCCCTTGAGTTGTTCCCATTATATTATCACCAAAAGTTTGTGAATGCATGCTGTTGCCTTCTACCTGAATCACCAAACCCTGCTTGCTGATATCGTGAACTAAGGTTGAAGACGTTCTTTCGTTTGATTAACTCAGCTCACTGTGCTTCTTCATATGCCAAGATCCTTCATTAGCTGGCAAAACGGCCCATCGGTACTCCAACAGAGAACGAGAAGGAGATTTTGCTTAACGAAACAACGAAAAAGTTGATTCTATTGGGGTTTGGATTCAAGTCCTCGAACTATACCTTTATCCAACGGCTTGAACAGTTCCGACACCGGCTTACCGACTTCCAGACTACTACTAAGTTGGATCCAAAGGTGGCAAATTTCGAGTTTTGGCCGACGAAATTGCTTCAAGGGGGCACCATACAGATACAATTCTCTCAATCGTGTTTGTTTCTCAGAGAAGGCGCCTACTGATGAGCATTCCTGAATGTCATATCTCTTCTTTTCATCTACTTATTCCATGCACTAGAAGTAAAAGGTTCTGAGGGTAGGTAATCACCGTATGCGTCGTAGTTTGTGCTTCAGGTATTTGCCGAGGTGAAGTACAATTTGAGTAGTTCGAGCATCTGCTAATGATGCTACTCGCGTGCGAATTGTTGCTCCCTCCGGCGTAGAAAGAGCCCTCACGAATGCCGGCAGCATTGCTGGAATAAGACATCATGAGACTCGGTTCTGGATCTGCCAAGCACTCCAATGACCTGGCGCTATCCTGAGGGGACCATTTCAAGGTAGAACAGACAGTTAAGCACATGTCCACAGTGTGATAACATGGTAAGATGTGGTGTTTGTTACCCTTCATAGAAAGTCTATGTTCACTGCACATGTGAAGCTCTCCACTGTATGTAAAACCGCGGTCATCTCTTTCACCATCCAAATGCAGAAAAAAGCACCTGAAGATTCATTGAAGCTGGGAACCCTGGCGAATAAACGGAAAGGAGCATTCACGACGACAATGTGAAATGGAAACTCCAAGTCTGAGTAATATATATCCTAGAGGTATCTTTAGGTAAGTAGGAATGAATTCTCAATGGTTGTTATAGATAGAAATAAAAGTAAGAAATCACAAATCTTATAGAGGATGTTACTTCAATTTCTTTTGGCACGGATCGTTTAACAGTACATTGGATTATTGTCAACACCGAAGACCCAGAATCTCTCTACAAATTTACCCATGCAAGTCAATACTCCGCAGTTTTAGGCGATCGACGACTCTTCATGTGAGACATGAAGCGAACGCAACTTCAGTACTACGATGCTGCTCTTCAACAGATCAATTTCCCATGATTTCTTTTCCGTAACATGCAGGGACGGACGCGGGATACTACCAATATGAGAACACTACTTGTCTTCTTCTCTACTGCAGTCGTCTCACGAAACTACAGCTCAGTAATATGACTTATACTTTGCATGGCGATGAGAATTTCTTCGAGTCAGTCTCCTCTACATCCATAGCAGTCTTCACAAATAGGCGTCGATCCAATTACAAAAGACGACAACCGTTGTCGCAGTACTTTTATTTAAACAGATGCAAGCTTTACATCGTACTCAATTCATGGGAAAGTCATACCTGACTGCTTTTGGCAGATTCAGATTGTGCAAAGTATGGCTCACCTTCCCAACGGAGAGCCTTAACTCACGGATGTACTTCATTTCTTCTCCAGTGAGCCAGACAAGTCCACTATCTTGCTGCTTCCTGTGTGCCGAGTCGCAATCCGCCATGCTATTGTCGCCGCCGCCGCACATGTTTGGTGCAGTGCTCGTCTCTCTACCCGGCCACGACTTCTTACGTGTCGCCATCGTTTGTGGTGGTGTGTATCGACCCACTGTTGCTTTCGGAGCACACTCGTTGACATGACAGTTTGAAAAATGCACAGGGACTCTTCTGTGCTGAGTGATGGCAGTTTCTGTAGGTTGTGCTGAAATGTATGCCGGCATGTGGTGAGCAAGAGGATGCTCAACACTCGAATGGTACTGAGGCTGACGTATAATCGGTCCACCAACCGGGAAGTGTTGGGTAAAAGATGCATTTGAACAAAGGGAACTGTAATTGCATACATCACAAGACGAGGGTGGTGGTGCGGATTGTGCTGTTTGGCAGCTCGAGCGGTATGTCTGAGGATCCAGTGGCAGACTGGGGTTGTGAACGAGGGGAGGAGCAGGCACTGGTATTGAAGAAATGCAGGATACAGATGAATTCGTCTTAAAGTCAAGAGCTTCGTCGGAGTAATGCCCCCAAGGTACTCCAGGGTCGTAACCTGTTGATCCGTGGAAACACAACTTGGGCTTCAGGGAATGTCTTTCAGAGAAATTCTCAGAACAGCCGTTTATGGACGAAGCAGGTGAAACGGAGCTGAATGAATTTCTGAATTTTGGCACCAATCCAGATTCGTACGTGTGACAGGTCAGGTTGGAAACAAAATTTGTCGCGGATTTTGCTCTGTCTGCTTCATGAGGCAGAGGCTGATAAGGTTCTACATATGAGAGGGAAGGATGGATCGTTGGATTCTGCTGAGGTGCAGTGCAGAGTGAGCTGAAGTTTCTAGATACACCAGAATTTAAGTTTCGGGTGGAGGAATCTTGTCTTGCAGGAACCAGTTCGTCTTGGGACGGAAAGTGTCTACTCGGACTGCTGATACAATTGCTTGCAGGAATTATCGGAGCCCGAGGAGGTCCAGAAGCCGGGTGCAGGAATTCAAGAGATCCATTTACTCTGTGTTGCAGCCTACTATGTTGTGAATCGTGGCTACCTGCTGAGAAACGCTCCAAGAAAACCTGATCTTGTGTGGGCCCTTCCGTCAGAACCCTGTTGTCACGTTCATCCTTCCGGACATCTCTGTGAGCTCGAGATTCACAACAGGAAGCAGAATTCCGATTCTCCCTTGACTGCACAACTTCGAAACCTTCTGCTCTAATACGATTCAGTGATTCGTTATATATCGGAGCTGTGCTTGACCTTTTGGGTTTATTCCACTGGAGATCCATAGACTGTTCCTGACATCTGGAGGGACATGTTCCAAGCTGATCTAGGCGGGGCGCAGGTGTTTGTATTTGTCTAGTGCTCGGTCGGTTCCACTCAACGGTGCTAGGTGGCCAGGAACCTTCCGCAGGTGGAAAATGCTCAGCGACCAAACTTACGTCCGCTTTTGTACTTCCTTCACCACCGAGGGCTCCTCGACGATGACTGTCCAGATCTTGAGGAAAGTGAGAACCTTCTCTATCAGTTTCTCGAGTTCCCCGGAAACTTGAATGAAGAGACTTGTCAGGCTTTGGGGTCCAAGAAATGTCTGATGCTGCGTAGCTTTTAGTACTTTTACCATGCGATTCGTTTTGCTCATCAGGTCCAGTAAGACGATCAAGTGTCTGAGCAGTTGCATCTGCATCAATCTCCCATCCATCACTTCTTCTTCCCTCTACTACGCTGTAAGGTTTTCGGAGCCCAGAGGGTGTAACTGTCTTCACCAAGTCAGCGTGAATGCCCTTCCCTTCGTCATGCCTCAGTGAACTAGAAACCAACTTACCTTCAAAGGGTGCACTTCCTCCTTCACCCTTGGAGCCTCCAACACGATCACCATCGCAATATCCTGGAATCTCTGGCGTTTCTGTCTCACTGGACTCGTACCGCTTTTCCAACGGACAGGAGATGTGGTTACAGGTTTGTGTCTCTCCAGCTCCAGTTGAAAAATTCCGCCCGTGGGCGAGCTGTATAATACCTCCAGAACCTACGACACTTTTGGACCTCGGCGGAAAGTTATTTTGTTGCAGGAGACTTGAAATTAGGTTCGGCATCTCATCCGGAACTGAAATACCATCTCTGCAGTGCGTTGAGTTTGAACCTTGTTGCAGGTGAGAGGATGATCCATCTTTCAAACTAAGAGGATCTGGTGGGGGTGACTCCCCGCCTGGGACAGAAGCTACACACTTCGTTGGTCCTGTGGTGGGTAGCAAGCGCGACAAGAGTTTATGAGTGTTTTTGTCTTTGGAAACGCGACCACTCGACGGCGGTGTTGTTCCAGGCACAGGAGGAGTAGGATGTAGTGTAGTAGAAGAGGACATGTCGCCATCATCTTGCTCAGATCCTGCAGAATCCGGACTGCCCCTTCTACGTGCGGGGACACGTTCGGTCCTTGAATTCAGTACCGGACTGCTTCTTTTCTGTCTTCCATGGTGCCGTCCAAGGCTGTGATCTGAAGGATTGCCAACATGGGTCTCTATGTCTTCATCTCTCTCTTGCGCCGAGGAAGGTTCCAAGAACTTCTTGGACTTTTGGACAAATTTAGCTGGTACAAATTCAGAGCAAGGGAGACTAGAATCTTCATCTGAAGATTTTCGCGGCAGTGATAAGCTTTTGTCCTCGGACGACTGGCCTGGACGGGGCACAGGGGAAGCTTCTGAGGGACTTCCTTCCTTGCGACGACCACAGTCTGCTGCAGGCTCATCGTCAGATGACAACTGGGGCTCTCTTATATTTAGCGCTGAGTCCGTAGAAGGTTTTGACAGTGGTCTGCAATGATCGCGGATAGCATAATTTTCGGTGACTGTCTCGATATTTTCCAGAGACTCCCCCTCCTTGCCATGTCGAACTTCACAGCGCGCAGGCAGCTGCTGCAGACCTCTGCCGCAGAGACTGGCATCGTCTAAATCGGTACAGAAGGTCGTCAGTTCTGAGTTTTGTGCCTTCAAGATTGCAGGTTCCATGTTGTGGTGATTAGAAGATTGCTCGGAAGCTCCTGACAACGATGTGGCCCCATTTTTCTTGCTTCCCTGATCAGTCGTAGTAGCGGATGGATCAGATGAGCCAGGTGGTGCACTGCTGACCAGCTCACTTGTAACATACCTCTTCAATGGTACTTCTAAAGTTAAAATCACGCTCTGAGCGATGCTCTCGCTTACTTGTACGGTCCTTTCAGCTTCACAGGCAGGCTGATTAGTTGTTTCCTCGGAGGGCTGCTCGTTCCCCTCTTTGAATGTGGAATTTGGAGGATCAGCTGAAGTTTCATCGAGAGGTGTAGTGGCTTCTTCGGCACTTGCAGTACGCAACGGTTCGAAATACTGTATCCGACTAACATCGATGGATGTTCGGGACTGTAAGTCAACGGCCTTCGACTTTTGCTTACCAAACCTTTTCCATATGAAACTTTGTAGCAACCATCCATTAGCAAGCCCATTCCGAACTCTGACTACGATTGGCATTTTATGCTTCCGACTGGTCGATGGTTTAGGAATCTCATCTGTCCGAGGCTCTTCGGTTGGTTGAGAGTCTTCCCGATTTGGTGCACGTCTCGATGCCGAATCAGCACATTCCGGATCCAACCTTAGTTTTGGATCCTGGTTGTCCAAGCTCTTTATCCCACTGAATTGTGGACAAAAAGCAATGTGCTGAGCTACAACTAGTAACTCTGTGGCCAGGTTTTCCTCATGAATCGAGTGCTCGTGGCACTGCAAATGAATCGGAGGGGATGTTTCAATATCCTCCACCGCGCCCAGTGCATCCTCTTCTAAGTATTTGCTCACCACAGTGCAATCACTAACCCCTTTTCCAGTTTGATATTCACATCTTCCAGTAACAGTCATAGCTTGAGTGAAAGGTAGCGAGTCCTCCAAGGCCAGCTGTTCCGATTCCTGGTGGCGAAGCCTAGGTGATCCTAAACGGACATCTGCGTAGTCAAAAAGCTCCGGATCTTCGGAGCTCTTCTCTACCTCGAATGCAGCCATAGTGATACCCTTGCTCTCGGTTAGGCAATCTTTAAGTCGAGGTGAGAAAGCGGCCGAAAAATGCTTGCTCTCTGATTTCCCTGTTCCCTGAAAAAAAATGCCATTTGCAGAGCTGGGAATCTGTGCCATTTCGGTCGTAATGGGGCTCGCCCCATTACCGTACTTGCCGTTACTCCCTTCTAAATGCTGTTCTGTCAAAGTTCCATCGCTGCGTGCTTTCGTAGAATCCTGCGGCTCTTTACTATCACGCTGCTCTTTTAAGCTTACTTCTCCTTTCTCTAAACCTGAGTTTGAGTCAGAACACGGGACAGAAGACTCAATGCTGGAGCTTTCATTTCCTATGTTAGGACTGCTGGACCGGCCATACGTAGGCTCCAAACAATCAGTTTTATCTTCTCTCGTCAAGAGATCGGTTTCTAAAACGGGCTGCGAAACAACGCATTTCTTCCTCACAGAAAAAGCCGTAGAAGGAGCTCGTTCCCCTTGCTGAAAGCGAGATGTAACAAGCGTGTCCCCTGCTTGTAGATCAGGCAACGAGCTACGATTTTGTTTTTCCACTCTTTCCAGTACCTTAATCAAACCGCCCAATTTAGACAATGGCTTCTTCAGAGCTTCTCTTCTTTTTTGTATTCTTCTTCTTCCACGTCCCCAACAGGCGTCAAAGTAGTTCACCCTCTCGACCGGCTTCTTCTTAAAACTTCTCGTCCATATAGGCCTAAGAAATGGCAGATAATTGTATCCAGAGCAGGACGGATCGCGTCTACGTACTCCTCGCATTCTGTGAGACTTCAAATCGTTAGAGTCGACGAGTATACTCTCTAATTCTTGACGGTCTGTCTTAGATGTCTCAGTGCTGAGCACATCCAAAACCGCAAATGTGTTCTCTACAAATCCGTCTCTTCCATGAGTGCGCCAAACATTCTCTACTTTGGAATCCGATCCATGTACCTCAGCGCGACCTTCGTCCTGGAGTCGCTGTAATCCAAACCCCAAATTCTGCTTCCAAAGATCGAAAGTCGAAAGCGGGTTATCATTATCATCATCAACGTCGTCCGCATCATCAGAACATGCTGTACTTCGAGGAGAGCAATTTTCCTCGTCTCCATGACTTTGAAAACATTCGACATCGCTATCAGTGTGGCAATCTCCGACGCCATCTTGATTCTTTGGCGACGCATACCAGTCTAGTGTTGAAGTCGGTAACTCCACGGCTCTTCTCCCCGAGCCCAAGGGACGTGGATATCTACTTTCTTTCGTGTTTGCATGCTCTCTTCCAGATCGTCTTTCTCGCCCCTCGCAGACGCCACCATTGCTTGCGACATCTCTGCGTGTTTTGGAACAATGCATGTCCAGATCGCACGACGACGACTGATCCGAAGCACTCGAAAGCTTCAAATTCTCGCGGCCTGAAAACCTACGGAGAAACTTGTCCGAGGGTGCGATCCGATTGGCCTCCTGTCTACCAATTCCCTCGACTCTCACCGGAACATTCGTCTCCGGAGGTGCGGCTGCCGCCGCCGACACCGCCGAGTCCCCGTAGCCACCACCACACACACCAATCTTGATCTGTGCGAGTGCGTCTCGTGTCGATATTCCTACAGCTGGCTCCGACTCCTGACGAACCAGAAGACGAGGCTCTTTCTCCTCCATGCTCTTCGCCCCGTGGCTCTTGAGAGCAGAGCCTTCGGTCCTCGTGAAACCCTCGCCTCCGAAACAGAACGTCCTTCCTTGAAGGCTTGAGACGCCTCCTTTGAAAGATATGAAGCTGTGAGCCAAGGGGCCGTTGGAAGGGTAAACGAGCCCGAGCCTTCTTGGTGCTGGTGCTGGTGCTGGAGCTGGTGCGCCTCTGTCATGGAAGCGTCCGTTCTCCTTCCCGTGATCTTCCTTTCGCTCGACGGAGGAGGCCTCCGATGTTCTTTGCTCGCAGAGGCCGTTAGCCGGATGGTCTCCGCCGGAGGAAGCTTCGTTCCTTCGCATGTTCCATTTGACGCCGGTAACATGTTGTCGTGCTTGCAGATTCTTCAACTCTGCCTCGATCTCGAGCCTACCTCCCCTTTCGGCCGACCCTGGCCGCTGTCTGGGTTGGACTCTTGCCACTCTGCACCCACCCTCGATTGCAATTGGGGATGCGAATTCCTCGGCTCTTTGCCCGGCACACCTCAGTTTTCTCTGCTGAAAAGCTTGCACCTGCTCTCCGGAAGAATACCTTTTGTGACTCCTTTCATCTTTTCTATCACTGGTCGAGGGATTCGTCGTGATCTTGACCTCGCTTGGGTTCTTTGGGTCAAGAATGTCACGTTTGATTTTTGATTCTTTCTCTCCGCTTCTCCGATTAGCTCGATGGACGATTGCTGATTCTCCACTTTGCTGCAATTCACGCTCAAAGACATGCTCACCGCTCGCAGACCTTTTCCCTTCCACTCCATCCTCCGTAACCTCCGGTTTGCTCATAGAGGCAACTGACTCCTCGCAGGCTGAGCTACCAGACTTAGTACAATCCTGCCTTCCAAGATGACACTCGGATTGCTTCTGGGCGGTTATATATGGCACTTGCCCCGGACTTGCCTCACGGGCAATACTTGCATCGCTGCTTTTATTCGGGCTCTCAATAAGCATCTGACTCTTATGAGACGCGTGAGCAATGCGTAGAACTTCATTACAGGCGGATGATGTCTCTTTTCTAGCTGGCATCAACCTCATTTCAGAAAATACTGAATCCGTTGCCTCCTCCCGATGTCCATAAGAGCTCAACGCAGTGATGGATCGGTATCGAAGCCGCTGTCTTAACTTCCCATTGGATGCTGCGCTGGTGAAGGTGAAGACTGTGCCCTCACAACAACCACCCCAGAAGCTGTTCTCGGAATTTCCTGCAAAGCACTTTGCTTCTTCCACAACTGCCTTCATCGACTCCATGAGCTCTCTGTCGAAACGATCTGCAGTATGATACGCAACGATGTTTACGGAGTTTATTTTATTACCAGTACAACAATCTACTAGCATAAACTTCTTATTGAGTAGCTTATACAACAGCTTACGTAATCAGACGAACATTTCTTCTCTCATATTGCGAGTATAGCATTATTCTGTCTTCATTACATTAGCAACTGATGTTCTCCTTCCGCCAGGTGGAAATTTCAGCTCTGAGTTCACTGCTACTATAGTCACTATGATGATGGTTTTGTCAAGGAAATCAAGGACTGAACGGCTGAGAAAAACGGTCCCTTGATCAGTCCATACTCCCTTGACTAATTAATCAATGTCTGCATGAGACGTCTGATTTCAGGTCGGTGAAAATCGATAAGAATTCCTCAAAACTGGAATGAATCTACGCTTACAAATTCCAACATATAGTCATGGATGGTCGGGATTGCGTTCTTCTCTAACCCTTTACTAGTTTCGAAAGCAGAGTTGAGGGTACATTACTGCCGACACTGTTTATGCTTCCAGGAAAAGTTGCAAACTTTCGAGATCATGGATGAATCCTTTATGTGCTTTTTCTCTATTGTGCATGCGAAGACACGTTCAGCCAGGGAAGCATCTCTGACGAGATCAATTGTGCTGATAATCAAGAGTTTTGAGAAAGTGCGTACCATGTACTTTGAGAAAAAGAGTATCCAAGGCGGAACTTCGCTGGCCAGTTCCACCAACGAACACTCGTGGAGATGTACATTCGCAGTTAGGTGCAGGATACAATTGGCTGTCTTCGTAACTCTTATTTTATCCAACTGCCCGTAACAAAAGGGAAGTACATGTGAGCAACTGATTAGAAAATGATGAGAAGCTCTCCTCATGTCGATGGTAAGATCAAAATTGATGAGGGCACAGTCCTGCGCACGCAATCATTTGCGTCCAAAACTGATACATCCGTTGGAACTGACACACTCGTAGAAGCTTGCTTGCAATCAAGAACCATCAATAATGTACTACTTCTGTACATTACATTGGCTGGTATAATTTATAGGTGCAAAATAATGCAATCCGAATCTTGCTTGTGTGAAGTTCTAAATGGCAAAAATTTGCCTTGAAGGCCGAGACCCACCAAGTCTGCCCGCAGCGGATGTTGGCGCACAATTCATGCTGCAAACATTTGTAGAAGACGGCAGCTCAGATGGCTCGGGAGGTCATTTCTAGAAGTAATTGTCCGACATGTCAAGAATTCCACCACTCTCATTGACAACGATTCGGTATCATCCCAACATTACGCAGACAGCAAGGTCAGATACGCACGTGCGTGTCTATTGTGCACACGGATACATATTGACAATGAAGGAGGACAAAGAATCCATCTCAACATGCGAGAAATTCCGTCACAATCTGAATGGACCTATCTTTGAGAGCATCGCGCCGCAGTAAAGGCAGAGATAATTCGTTCGGTCAGTCAAAACCAGAAGGAGGCAGCCAGAATTAGAATCGAGCACCATCATGAACAGCCTACGATCGCAATTCGATTCCAATCGATTTCGAAGCCGCACGTAACGAACATGGCCAAATTGAACTGCCGAGAGATGTGCTCGGTGGCATCAGGAGCAAGCCGTCGAGCCTCACGAGAAGATGGGAGTGGCGCAGTTTGGGAAGAAGGAGACGAGGTGGCGAGCAGAGTGGACTGACCGGGTGGGTGGCTGCATTCGCCGCAGAAAGCCCTAATCATGGAGGTGCGCAAGAAAGACAAAGAAAGGGTAGTTAAAGAAGAAACCAACCGTTATGCTGGTCCCGGGACAAGGATACAGATGTGACAATCATATTTCTCTTTCCGTGCTTTGCTTGGAAGTGTGCTCACGGCGTGGCCACTTTCCTGCGATGGATGCCCTGTTATCTAAACCGAGAAACATGGAACTAATTCGAGAGAAGCGACGTAAAAAGACAGAAAGAGTTTCCCTCAACCGCCTGCGGCAGCACTAAGCTGCACTTTTCCTGATCGATCACTTTTCCTACTCCCCCCACTTCCAGTTTAGGTTGCGGCAAGCTTCCACGTTCCCTATCTGCTCACAACATTGCCTCACTTTGGCTTACTACCAAATTAAAAGCCCCCGGTGACGAGCTTGTAAAGCCTACTCTGCCCTCCTACTCTTCTGATCATTCAATGTTTGATCTTGTCCTCATGGTGCCAGTATCACCATCGCACAAGAATTAGCCACGCGTCAAGTAGCAAACAGCAGTGCAATCCACGCGCTTTTACCCAGTTTGGAAAGTCATCCAAGATGGGCAGGTTTTACAGCGATCTTATATCCAGTTTCAACACAAGCGAAAAGAGCCCTAATTTCGAACATTGTCCAAGCCAGGTATGCACACAATCGAAGATGTTTGAACTTGCAGATCTTTACTTCGTCGTACCCTTTTTCAACCTAATTTTCTCCTTCCTAACCTTTGAAACATGGATTCGCTTCCTCATACGCGTGTCGGTGGAGTCATGGAAGTTGTCATCGAACACTGAGCAACATGATGGATTCCAATGGACTGGAAGATGTGTTTTTGGACCGAGTTCACCTCACCTTTCAGGTTTTAAGGACGAGTCCTCTCCTCGGAAATTCCTAACATTGCCATGGACTGTGGATATGGCATAATCACATTTCAATGTCGCGCACTGAGTGACCAGATATTACGAGAATAGACTGATTAAATGACCTAAATGTAATGCATAACGATTGTAGCCCCAACCCTTCTACAGACTCCCCCCGCCAGATCGACTTGAGGGAGAAACAAACAAAGGATGGTGAGTTAAACCATGCGATGACTGACTTTTTGTATCAGATTGACGATTTGTATCAGATTGGAGGTCGTCTCGAGAGGAATTCATTTCCAACTTCCTTCGTGAACTTCATCGCTCAACGGACACCATAAATCTTCCTTCAGCTCACCCCGAACTCACACTTAAACAAAAATGGCAAAATATCATGATCGAAGATGGCAAGCTGGCAAGAAAGTTCACTCCATGGCATTGGAATAATTCCCTAGATTTGAGTCAAAGAGAGTCTTCAACTAGGCCTGATTACTTCTTCAGCTACTACATTCCAGTAAAGGATCACCGGATCGGTAGGATATCTCTAATGGTAATAGAGATATGAAGCACACTGATGGACCAGTTTGTTTTGGTCTAGTAAATCTACAAGAAGAATTGTACATCAAATTAATTTGAATTTAATTAGTTAATTAATTTTCCATCCATTTCTAAATGGTCAATTATATGAAAATTCTCATAACTAAACTCAATACACCATTGTGATTGGACTATTGGATAATAATGAATGTTGCATTCGTTAAGTTCATTTGCTCAGCCCACATACCCGTAGCAGATAATCTCTTAGCTTCTTAGCAAGGGACATTAGGAATGGATGAATAATCAAGTAAAGAATTATTTGAGTGAATCAAGATCAGTTTTTTAGGGGCATGGTATATCACGATGTTTGACCTTGGAAAATGAGTACTTTTTGAAAGAAAAAGTACTCATTAGAAACACACGTATCAAAGGCGGAGGAGTTAATTAAGTCATAGGAGAAAACTTGTATTCATTTGATGAAGAATACACAAGGAAGCCGGCATTGCAAAAGGAGAAATAGTTGATTTGCAGAAATATGAATGCAGTGTATACAATTGAGTAACTACTTTGAATATGAAACTTCACAATGATATTAATGTCATGTTGCCTCCCTACTGTAATGATTTGACTAATACAATTTCAAATATATTCACCATTGAAATGACATTCATAACACCACCAACTATCTTGTCTAAACGCTTGTTACACTTACATGACAGTCAATATTGTCTATTGGATTTGTCAAGCTAGAAAATGGCATGTCAACAATTATGCAATATTTGTTGATGATCATGACTAATCTAAAAAACTTATGATGTACATTAATCAAAATCGCGACGATAAAAATATGTTACTCTTTGCAAGGGAAATCATGCCTTGTCAAAATTAATTCGCTTTCAACATTTTTTAGCAAAGTAAGAGATATGATAGGTTCTTATCCATTTCACAAGATAAATCATCTTAGAAATTGGTTGATACACATAAAACAACCAAAACATAGCAATGAGTAGTCGCTGGCCGAAACTACTCTATAAATCTAATCAAACAAAAAAATAGCATGCATCAATTCTTTAGAATAAGTACTCCTGAACGGATTTATCTCTATTTTAAAATAAAGCCTTATGTATAATGTATTCCTCTTCAGAAATAAAGTAGAGTGATCAACATCATCTAAGCAATAAGAATTTCTTTAATTTCAATGTAATATATTACTTAACTCTAACTAATCTCATATCTCAATGAAGCACATCTTGATTGATTGAAAAAAATCATAGACAGATGTTAATTCAGCTCTTATTATGTAGCAAGACAAATATTTTAGATAAAAAGAAATTATGTTAGTTTTGTGAATAACATGAATTATTTTGTAGTCAACAAAGAGTTTCATTTAGAAAAAAGAATAGCAAAATATTGATTGATCTGAATGAAACTAAGACAAATCACATTTTTTCAATACAAATCATGATGCATGATATGAAGAAAACTTAATTTAGAACTTAAAAGTGAAAGACTAAATTAATTTCAACAGAATTGACTTCATTGATCATAAGGTTATGAAAATATGAAGATGTATGCATTTAAAATATTGAAGTTACAAAAAAAAAATTTGAAAACAAAGCATACAAAAGCTCATTGTTAAAAAAATCTGAAAACAATTTAATCAAAAGAGTTCATTCAAAAGAAAATTAAAATGAGTGATATGTGCAATCATGAATAATTAATCTTGTGTGAAAATAAAAAAATATGTTATATTGATATTAAATAAATTGTGAATTTTCATTAAATTTCTTATTATTTATTAAGTATTCATTGTAAAAAGTAAAATTTTCAAGATTTAGAAATTCAATCATTTTTATCACTTGATAATTTTCAAAAGTGATATTATTAACTATTAAAACAAGTGAAGGACAAGCTGATGATGAGTGTGTATAATCCTTGTGTTTACATGAGGAAGACGAATAACATAACATAAATGACATATTCATCTTGACAAAAAATCAATTGCACGTCAACAAATGCAAGAACCTACTTAAATCTACACTTAAGATGAATTATTTGTATAAATCAAATAGCATATAAGGTATGGGATTTCATAGAGATTTGGTGAAAAAAAGTTTATAGTTGAACCAAGTCAAGTACATTATGTGATTTTCGGTCTGACTCTCAATCAAGTTTACCTAAGATAGTTTTGTGGAAGCTCATCATGATTCAATAAAGTAAAGTATCTCAACGTGTCCGTGTTTTAAACACCATCTTATATAAACTCTTCACTCATCATTCAATTTTAAACACTCATTGATACTTCAAAAAAATTGTAACTAAAATTTATATTGATGAAAGAAATTTTCACACAATAAAATTTCAATATTTACTTGAGAATCTTTTCTCTACCACTTTATATATATTACTTAAAAAACTATTATGATAACATATTGTAATGAACTCCTATACTTTTAGTGGTATAAATTATGGTAGATTTGTCTAATTTTCAATACAATGCAATATGTCATTGATCTATATAAAGATTCTAAAAGTTTTTCAATCTGTAAGTTGAGATGACCACATGCCATTTGAGATTTTCAAAGTTGTAGAGTCTTCATTTACCATTCAATCAACTTTAGACTTAACCTAACCAATGAATTTTCCATTTTTTAGTCAAACCAATCAAAACTAACATGTAGTCAAAATCTTTCATCTTTAGAATTTAAACTTTGATAAAAGAAAAAATTATAATGCTCACTCAAATCTTAAAAAAATTTCTCTAATTATTTTGCTAAACATAGATAGCATAGATAAACACAATCATAACAAGAGAAATTTAAGTTTAAACTCTTTAGACTTAGCTATAAATGGTTAGACTTAGTTATTTCTAAGTTATCCATGATCAACTCCTCTAGGCTAATTCTACTATTACTTCACACATACAACAATCGGTTTTACAGTTCAATGTGTGCTTGACAAGAGTAACATGATAAACTCTAAAGTCGTTCATATTACTTTTGCATCACACTTTAAACTTTTTGCAACTAAATGTCTAATCAATGTCATTGAAAAGTGAAAAATGTTATCAATTTTTTATGACAAAGTTGTGGGCATGTATTTGATGGTGAATACCACGTCTGATATTGCTTTAGCTTTAGACAAGATATACATATACATGTTAAATCCAGATTGATGCATTAAAAAGCATTGAAATATATTATCAAGTAATTAAAAAATACTAAGGTTTATGAATTATAGTTTGATGATTTATAAAACAATGTCAAATCTTTGTTATGCTATGTTCATGCTGACTTTGAACTAAATCTAGTCTAGAGTAAATCTACAACTTGGCCTGTATTAATATTTGGAGATGAATGCATAAGTTAGAGATCTACCTTGTAAGATTGTGTAGCTTAGTTTATAACAAAAGCTGAGTATATAGTAAGGGCAAAAAAAAAGCTATTTGGTTGAATAGTTTTTTCATAAAAATGGGATTGAAACACAATGTTGTCAATTTTCAAGGTGATAGTCAAAATGAATTAAATCTTGTTTGAAAAATCAAGTGATGGAAAGAAAAATGAAATACATCGATATCATGTTTCATTTAATCTAACATGCAATTTTTGATAAAAAGGTTATGCTAGTCAAGATTGACAAGAAATTTCATTCAGTTGATTTGATGATCAGAATAATTTCTTTAGAAAGTATTAAAAACATTGTGCTTCTATAAAGATTTTGCATGAGGAGCACAAATAGTGTGTATAAGCATTTTAGTAATCTCTATATATTTTTGCTCTATCTTGTTTGGGTTTGATTTAGATCTAAATTAGCTCTAATTCAAAGAATAACCTTTCTTATGTTTCTTTGAGTACTTCCTGTAGATTAATTATGTTTTTATACTTCTGACATGTGTTAAGGAGGAGATTGTTAGCATTAAAGCATGTTCAGGATACCATTAGTTGTCGTTAAGGCAATTTAGCATTGAGACGTGTCGCCTGTCAATATAACTTAATCTCTTGATTTTGGCTATACTACTTAGCGCAACAAGCAGACTTGCC